CTCCCTCCCTCTCTAAAAGTCAGTGGAAAAATATAAAATATCCTGGGGAATAACAAATGATTAACTGAGAATATATATGCAGTGCTTAATACTCCTAGTACTTTAATACCAAGATTTTTTTTTCTTTCTAACAAAAACTTTCATTTCTTAGCTCCCCTGTGAAATCTGACTACTCTAGTCCAGACTGATCTCTGAAATTCTGTAGAATTTAATTTCTTTCATTTCATGCGTACATTTTTCATCTAGGCCCAATAGGTCACAAGTTTCCCACAATACCTTGAGAACACATCAGAACAGTGTTCAATACAGTACATGCTGATTCACTAAGAGAGGAAGAATCTATTGTGTCAGTCACCTAGGGTCAGTTACTGTGGAGATAGAGAATGCATTCATATGACAAGTGGGGAATTTGGAACAAACCTATGAGTAGAAATGCTTAAAAAAAAAGACCCAAGAAGTCCAGCCTATCCTTCCAATCCTCCCAATAGCCAAATGAAAGTTGTAAGACAGTTTCTTAAGAAAGCTTTCTAAGAGATAAGCATGAAACACTGGACTGTGTCTAAAAGCTTTGCTTAGTTTACTTCTGAACTTGTCCTACTATATAAAAAAACTACATGTGCCTCCAGCAGCTCATAATCTTCGACATCAAAATGCTATTATGGCCCTAGCTGGTTTTGCTCAGTGGATAGAGCGTCAGCCTGAGGACTTGATTCCGGGTTTGATTCTGGTCAAGGGCAGGTACCTTGGTTGCGTGCTTGATCCCCAGCCCTGGTCAGGGCATGTGGCCTGGTCAGGGCATGCGTGGGAGGCAACCAATCAATGGGTCTCTCTCACATTGATGTTTCTCTCTCTCTGTCTCTCCTCCTCTCTTCACTCTCTCTAAAAATAAATGGAAAAAAATATCCTTGGGTGAGGATTCACACAAAAAAATAAAAATAAATAAATAAATAAATGTTTATTTTTAAAAAATGCTGTTATGCATTAACTTTAAAAGTCAGCCAGATTTTCCCCCAGGAAAACGGGTTTCTTTAGGAACAACAGAATTGTAACCCCGAACATGTAACCGTGGCTGGCCACATGCAAGTTTACTCAAACAAAGGAGAGGGAATTCTTTTATAGAGGGGGAAAGAAGTTGGGAGGGCTGTTACAAAGAGTTCCTCCTGCTGTGCTTCAAGATCAACTGACAGGGCATGACACCTTTTACTTCTGGCCTATTTCATATGAGTTTCTGCTTATTAATTTTTTTCCATCATAACCTAAAAATTCTGAAGGGTAGTTTACTCAGGAAACTGAGACAAGCTAATTGATTAGTCCAAAACACCATGCAATGTAGCCCCACCACCACCACTGGCTCCCAACTTACCTGTGGTCTCCTCCCACTGTGACACAGCTGTAGCCACCTGATACTGCTCTACTAACTACCTCAGCCAGTTCCTGGTTGGCGAGGCCCACCGAGCGAGGATTTGCTATCAGGTTGTTGTACAGATCATCTTTGGGGACTGGAGTGAAACTCAAATCTCCAAAGTCCTTTAGGTGGCAGCCTAGAAACAAGTGGAGGATGATAAGATTAATTGGAAATGGTATTCCAACTCTTACTGGCCTGGGCCACAAATAATAACTTGTGACAAAGTACACAACCTCATTTTGTCTCAGTAAAATTCAAAATGTAACATGACTGTCAGGATGACCTCCTAGCAATCCTGTGGGGTAGATTCCATCAGGAACACCGTTTTGCAGATGAAGAAGAGGTTTTGGAAAGTGAAGCCCAGAAATGTTAACTGACATTAACAATCACGAAATTTGGAGCAATTAAACCTCTATTACAGAGTTATAGCATGGAAGTAGAATGCCAACAGGATTTAAAGAAAGTGAATTTAGGACAAGAATGCACATACAGAAATTTTCACGTTATAAACTAGGTCTCGCCCTGACCGGTTTGGCTCAGTGGATAGAGCATCAGCCTGTGGACTGAAGGGTCCCAGGTTCGATTCCGGCCAAGGGCATGTACCTTGGTTGTGGGCACATCCCCAGTAGGGGGTGAGCAAGAGGCAGCTGATCGATGTTTCTCTCTCATCGATGTTTCTAACTCTCTATCCCTCTCCCTTCCTCTCTAAAAAAAAAAAATCAATTAAAAAAATTCAAGAAAATATATTTTAAAAATATATATAAATAAATAAATAATAAACTAGGTCTCAAGGTCACACAGCTGCTAAGTGCCAGAATCAGGAACAAATCCGGGCCATCTGTTCCCAAAGTTTGTATTCTTGAGTATGCAGTTGTATCCCAAAGAGTCCCCCTTTAATCTATATAATAAAAGCCTAAGCAACCCTTACGCAACGACCAGAACGACCAGTTGCTATGATGTGCACTGACCACCAGGGGGCAGACACTCAATGCAGGAGCTGCCCCCTGGTGGTCAGTGTGCTCCCACAAGGGGAGCACCACTCAGCCAGAAGCCGGGCTCAGGGCTGGCGAGCGCAGCGGCAGTGGCAGGAGCCTCTCCTGCCTCCAAGGCAGTGCTAAGGAGCAGCGAGCTGAGCGGTAAGGAGCAGCGAGCAGGCAGGTGGTAAGGAGCGAGGGCTCCTGGACTGTGAGAGGGGGTAGGCCTGGCTGAGGGACCCCTCCACCCTCAGTGCATGAATTTCATGCACCGGGCCTCTAGTATATATATTGATTTCAGAGAGGAAGGGAGAGGGAGAGAGAGACAAACATCAATGATGAGAATCATGGATCGGCTGTCTCCTGCATGCCCCCTACTGGGGATCGAGCCCATAACCTGGACATGTGCCCTTGACTGGAATGGAACCTGGGACCCTTCGGTCGGTAGGCCGATGCTCTATCCACTGAGCCAAACCAGCTAGGGCCCAAAGAGTCCCTCTTGATTGCACCACTTTAAGAACTAGACAGTCCTCTCTGAAGAACCAACAAGATAGTGGACATGGAGCTGGAGCAGAAGCAAACCTTCCACGGTGTGCACCTTGACCAGCTGCTGGTCATGGCCTCCTAGCAGCTGTCACAGCTGCACAGCACCTGGCAGCAGAGGCCGAAGCAGCATTTGAAGCCCTTGTACAAAGCCAACCAGGAGAGAGAAGCCAAGGTGAAGACACCTTCGGGACAGATCATCCTGCAGGAGACAGTGGACAGCATGGTGGGTGTCTCCAATGGCAAGACCTTCACCCAGGTGGGAATCCAGCCCAAGATGATTGGCACTACCTGGGCGAGTTCTGCATTGACTACAAAGCCCATGAAGCAAGGCTGGCCTGGCATTGGAGACACCCACTCCTGCTTCATCCCCCTCAAGTAGCTTGTTCGGCCAATGAAGGCACTGACTTCTCTTTAAAAAAATAAATAAACAAAAAAAAGAACTAGTGATATATTCTGACAATAAGCTGTAACATTTCCCTACTAAGGTTTCACATATTTCAAAGAACTGGGATACTGGTCACTACACATTAATTTTTATCTTTGGTGTAAATACTAGTCTGTCTTAGCCATGTTTAGGATGAGGACTAAATAATCCAACTCTATCAGGAAGAAATCTGAATTACCAGAGAACAGAACGTTACCATAGATTGTATCCTTAAGGTCCTGCTTCTTAAACTGAAGTACACGTATGTTGGGGGAGGGGAAGTGGTCACAGGATAGACATCTTTTTTCTTTTTTAAAATATATTTTTATTGATTTCAGAGAGGAAGGGAGAGGCAGAGAGAGACAGAAACATCAGATGAGAGAATCATTGATCAGCTGCTTCCTGCACATCCCCTACTGCGGATCAAGCCCACAACAAGGGCATGTGCCCTGATCGGGAATCGAACCATGATCTCCTGGTTCATATAGGTTGATGCTCAACCACGAGCCACACTGGCTTGGCAGGATAGACATCTTAATATTTGCAGAAATTTGTGTTAAAGATTTGGATTGAGACCAGCATGGACCCATCTTTAATTTGTACAGTTTTGGATATTGCTTGAATCCAAAGCCAAACTACTGATAAATGTAAAAATTTGAGAAGCAGTGGCCTGTAACTCCAGCTCAACAGTGACCTGAAATATAAGATCAACCAAGGGATCACCACTAAAGGGGATACTGGAAGCAAAACAGAAAACCTTATCCTATTTTCAATTAAAGGTAAGATGCACCTTCAGCTAGAATTCTGTGTGTCTTTGGTCACTGAATTTAAAAAAATAATTATTTAAAAGGCCTAGAACTAGAGATGATCTGTACAACTAAATAGAAGGGGGAAGGTGTTGAAGTAGGAGAAGAAAAATATGATAACAGGTCAAAGACATTGGAACTCTAGAGAGAAAAAAGACCAAATAAAACATCTATAAAAATCTTTAAAATCAAGGGGAAAAAGCCATGCATAAAGTCATTATGCACTAAATCTAAAAATATGCAGGACACTTTAGATTTAAGAGAAATGAAGCTTTAACTAACTTTCAAATCAACATCAGGTCTTGCCATTGTTGACAACACAGTCGTGGGACGGGCAGATTTTGAATGGCAGTACCTACACTTGGATGCTTCTACTTCCACGTCCTTGTTTATCTCAGCACCTCCTTAAACCGCATCAAGCATTCAGGTTCGTAGTAGGTTTAAGATACCAGGGCATGTCTGGTGTTGTATATGAGGTGTATAATCTAATTAATAATGTTCATATGAAATAACTTTTGAAAACTACTTTTAACTCATTTAATCCTCACATGACCAAGAAGTAGTACATGGACATTAAAGTGATCAACCTGGTGGATAAGTGACAGAACTTGGGAACACTCAAGTCCAACCATGGAATCTAGGATGTAGACTCAGAGAAGTGTGACAGCAAACAGTACTTGACTATTATTTACTTATCAGAGAACGCTGTGGAAAGCTTACAAAGGAGCCTAAAGAGAATTTGGTGGTCTTATAACAACACTCCAAGGAAGAGAGACTGAATTTCCTAAAAGGATTTTGGTCATTAAGTGTGTAACTCTGTGGAGTTGATCCCTAGATTAACTCACAGGCTGGATGGTCAGTTCTTCATGGGTATGCCACTCCATGTTCTCTGATTGTTTGTTCAGGGAACAGCCCTCTGGTTATTTACTTAGTTCCCCGTTGCCCTCATATAAGCAAGAGGGCTTCCTGACAGTGGATCCCGAAAGGCTGTTGCTCACCACAATTACGCATACGCATTTGGGGTTATACATCATGGTTAGCATGAATCTCTGGGTCTGAGAGCCTGCTAAGCTCTGCACATAGCAAGAGTTCTGTTCACGGATGGTCAGACCCCCCGAAGGGATTAATGTCTTGAGAGGCCCTACCTGAGTGGCCTACCCTATATGACTCCCAACTCTGCTCTTTCATTTTCACAATAAGTTCCAGGTAAGAACTAGGGAAAATGAGTGCTAGAGGAGTGAAAGGAAATTCAGTGACAATTGGGGTGGTCAAGGAATGACTCCTACAACAAGTAAAGTTAGTACCAGCACTATTTTGCTAACTTCCGTTGTTTTCTTTCCTTACTGGCAATAGAAATTTTTTGTAAAATTGTTAAGGAAGTGCCTATGGGTGACAGTCCCCTATCCCACTCTCTAGGCTTGACTACTCTATCCTGGCAGACCTTTATGCATAAACATAATCTGTACCATTCTTTATTTTATTTTGTGTACTATTTCTTTTAAATCAAGTTGTTAGAGTAGGCTAAACTGCTGTAATGAACCCTCCCCAAAATAATGGCTCAAACACAGTAAATTGGTTTCTTGCTCATTTAACATCCAGGTAGATATTCTAGGTCAGCAGGAGGCTTTCCTTCACGCAGTGATTCAGAGACCAGGCTTCTTTCGCTTATGGCTCTGCCACGCCTAGGGTCCCAGGTCAAGGCAGTGGGAGAGGAAGAAAACATTGAGAAGGCACACCTCTATGTTTAAAGGCCCTGGTCTAGAAGTGACACATCACTCCTGCTCACATGGCATTAGCCAGCAAGTGCAGGTCTAAGCCATGTCCAGAAGATGATGAGAATGGATTTGGGCAGATAGCAAAATGAGTTCTTTTCAATTCTATTGCCATACCTTTTTGTTTTTTAAATATTTTTATTTATTTTTTTAGAGAGAGAGGAAGGGAGGAGACAGACATTGATGTGAGAGAGAAACATCAATCGGCTTCCTCCTGCACACCCCTACCAACACCTCCTCCTGGGGATAAAGCCCGTAACCTAGACATGTGCCTTGACAGGGAATTGAACCAGCAACCTTTCAGTGCATGGGATGATACTCAACCAACTGAGCCACACCTGCCTGAGCAGCTGCCATAGTCTTTAATAATTAAGAACTCAAATACTAAAGCTTACGTTGTGGATACTAACTATGGTAATCCTAACTATTCTAATCATTGCAGAGCTGAATCAGTGAATATACTATGCCATCCTGCTATAGCCTCTTAGGAGCTTTCTCCTCTAACACCTACTGTTCCCATAGCATTGTAGCACCCAAAGGACTAGTGGAGTAGAGCACAGCATTGGTTTCTAAAGATGAACAAGGGCCTGAAAGAAGAACTGTACATTCCATGTTTGGAAAACAGTTAAGCAATTTAATAGAAATGAGAAGTTTACATATTGGAGCAATGCAATATGAGGTTGTAGAGAACATGATTTGCAACCCACAGGCCAGAGTTTCTGAGAAGTGGGGAGGCTGATGGGAAGTTATTTTTTTGTAAGAGCCCGGTGAACTGAGTAATAATGAAGCTATGACTTTATCAGGGTGCTGTGGCAAATCTAGTTCAAAAGGCACAAGAAATGGTCTCACTAATTTTTTTTTTTAATCCTCACACAAGGATATTTTTCCCATTGATTTTTAGAGAGAGTGGGAGGGAGAGGGAGAGATAGAGAGAAACACTGATGTGAGAAAGACACATTGATTGGTTGCCTCTCACATGCCCCTGACCAGGGCTGGGAGCCTGCAACTGAGGTGTATGCCCTTGAAGGGAATTGAACCGGGGACCCTTAAGTCTGCAGGCTGACACCTTATCCACTGAAGCCAGGGCTCTTCTCATTAATTTTTAAAGAATCTTAGAGTAATAGTGAAAAGAGCAAATATTATAAATATGGAAGGAATGCCTGCCTGTCATGCTTGAGGGAGCTGTCCCTTTCTTAAACTATTTTTGTGCTTCAGGTCAACTCATCTGCAGATCTAGATTAGATGAGACAATGTTTTGTTGTTAACCCTCACCAGAGGATAGACAGACTGACAGACATCAATGTGAAAGAGAGACATCAATTGGGTGCCTCCCGAATGTGCCTTGACTAGGGCTGGGGATTGAACCCATGATCCTTTGATGTGTGGGCCGACACTGTAATCACTGGACAAAACCCACCATGGCAAGACAATGTGTGTTGTTGTTGTTTTTAAGACTTAATGATTTATTATTGCTCTTTCCTCTCTTATAAGAAGGCACTGTAGGACAGAATGAACCTGAAACTGCAAGGAAGCTCGTATGACAAACAGATTTGGAACCAACTTGAACGGGCTCTGCTGTTTGACATGCAGTGACAAGCAAAGCTCTGCACAGACTGACAGCCTCAGTGCTCCTCTCCCAGTGCCGGTTATAAAACATACGCCGAATACTATTAAGATCTTTTAGGCCCAGGTGTCACCTTTGGCCCTGATAAACATCTCCAGGCTCCACTGGAGTGAAACAAGAACACAAGTGCATCAACAGAATGATGCAACCATCTGCTAGGGAAGAAATCAAAACAGCCCTACCTGACCTTAGCAGTGTCTGCAGACAGCACTTCTATTTAGGGTCCTGATCACTAGGGAATCCCTGCGAGAAGCCAGGGACAGGAAAGGAGAAAAAGGAGTATAAGAATCTGCCTCCACACACCACACTCCGCTAGCTGCTTTACAGGTAGCTGCTAATCTTCACACCCTCATGGGTTTCACATACTTCAGAGGGAGAAATTCAGCAGTTAAACAGCTCCAACTGTTTAGAGCCAGCCTGAGTCACCCTTTGGATGGAGACTCATAGAAGACAATGTTACAAGCGAGCAGGCATTTGTCAACAGCATCAAGATAACTCATTTTCCCTCCTGCTGACTTCCACTCATGGGGAACTCCAGCTGCTCCCAAGGCTCCCAGCAAGTGGAGAGAGATGGGCTGACACGGATAATCCCCCGAGCCCCATGGGCAGAATAGTGGATTTGGAGGAAAGCTCAGGGCCCAACAGTGTGCAGTTTTTTTGTTGTTTTTTTTTCAGGCTGTGCCTGAAATAGAATAGAGTGTTTATGACTTGTCAGGAATAACAAGTCAGTAAAACCTGGAGAAAAACAAAGATGCTGAGATCTCACTTGGTGCTGAGAGAGTACTAATCCTAATGGCTTTTACAATTACAGACTCAAACACTCTGTAAGGCGGATCTAGCTCCATGCAAAGGGAATTCTAGCATTTTAAAGGACTGCTCCTGCTAATTCTTAGAACCCCAAAGCTGTGCCTGGAAAACCAGTTCATTGAAAACAAAGCTGCCGTGTTACTGGAGGCGGTCTAGGAAGGGAGTGCCACAGGTCCTTCAGTCCATTTGAAGTAAGCAAAATGGCTCTTATCCCTAAAATGTGATCTGGGTAATAACTTTTGAAGAGACTGTTATTTAAGGTAAACTCATTTGGTTTCCACCAATAAAATGAAGAAGTCTAAATTTTATTTGGTTCATTTAACTCCCTAAGGCTATACAGTCATGAAGTATGTGCTGGGGTATCTAAAAATCAGTTTGTTGCCCAGCCCGTGTGGCTCAGTGGTTGAGCACTGACCTATGAATGAGGAGGTCACAGTTTAATTCCCCGGTCAGGGCACATGCCTGGGTTTCGGGCTCAATTCCCACTGGGGGATGTGCAGGAGGGAGCCAGTCCATGATTCTCATCAGTGGTATTTCTTTCTTTTCTTCTCTTTTCTTTCTTTCTTTCTTTCTTTCTTTCTTTCTTTCTTTCTTTCTTTCTTTCTTTCTTTCTTTCTTTCCTTT